CCACGGTGGGGAGAGGGCCTGCCGGGCGGAGAGGAGAGACAACGTGGCCAGTCTGGCTCCTTGAACAGGGACCCCTCCCTCTGCTTCTGCGGCTGCAGCCTCAGCCTCAGCTCCCCTCCCCCCTCGGCTCAGCCTAACTCCCCTGACGCTCCGCGACCATCCAGAGGGGCCTGGGCTGAGCCCACGGAGGAGGACTGGGAGGAGGGCAGAGGGACAAGTGGCCCCTCTGGGCTGGTCATGGCTCAGATAGGGGGGAATCCCCTGGAGAACAGAGGTTGGGTTTCACAATGACAGCAGGACGTGGATCTGGAAGTTGGGGGCTGTGGAGACCCTGGGGTCTAGGAGCTGGGTTTCCCATGGCCCCTCCTGGGCCCAGCTCCCAGCCAGGGCACCCAGGGTTGCCAGCTCTCCCGGGAGCCCTGTCCTTGCTCTCTGACCGAGTCTCCTCTCCAGGCCTCCTCAGGACATAAGCCTGGAAGAATTTGACGATGAAGACCTGTCTGAGATCACCGATGACTGTGGCCTGGGCCTCAGCTATGACTCGGACCACTGCGAGAAGGTAGGGAGGGACGGGAGCTTAAACCCTCTCCAGGGGAGCCTCACGTAGGCCCCGCTTAGGTCTCATTTGGGGTTTTAGGGTAGGTCTGCACTCAGCCTTGAAGCAAGAGATCCTCTGGTTCCTCCTTGCTTTGGGCCTTTGGCCTGGGAACTTCCTGGAAGTCACATCTCTTTCTCTAACAGACTGTAGGCCCTGCTCCAGGGTCTTCCCCAGTGGTCCTCCCTTGACCCCCATCCGTGGACTAGCTTGGGGGAACGGATATGCCCATGCTTCATGTGCCCTCTGTGCCCTGAGGACTTCCCAGAAAGATCTACCTCCTTCCAGCCCTGTCCCCACCTGCATGTCTCTGCCTCATGTCTCCACCTGAAACTTCCTCCCCTATCTCCTTCCTTTCTTTCTCCTCCTGTCTCTCCATGATCTGTTTTCATTCATTCAAGAACAGTTCTGAGCAACTGCCATGTGGCAGCTGCCAGGCGCCTCCAGGTGCTTGAGGGAACAGGACAGGTGTGGCCCATGCCCGCAGGAGTTATAATCTTGAAGGGGAGAAAGACATGTCAGAGCCATGGCTCCTGAGTGTCAGGGGCAGGGTTCCACTTGAGGACACAGCGAGGGGGAAGAGAACCCCATCGAGACTTTCCAGTGGCCATGGCCCAGGAGCATGCCCAAGGGAGGGCGGGCAGGAGCTGGGCTGATGAGGAGGTGGGAGGGAATGGAAAAGAGAGCGGCCCCAGGGATTAACTGTTGGAGGCCCTGAGGTTGGTGCAAGCTTGGTGGATCCTGGTGCCAGCTGTCTCTTCCTTCCTGCATTTGTCTGCTATTTACTGAGTCTCAGCTGTGGGTAGGTCCTGTTCTGGGGTGTGGGGTACGCCAGTGCTCAGTATGGACATTCTGCCCCGATGGGGCCAGCAGCTTGGTGGGGAAGACGGCCAAATGTTGTCTAATAATTGTGAGTTGTAGTCAAATTGCTCTGCAGAGAAGAGTGGTGTGCTGAAGGTGATGGGGTCAGGTGGTGAGAGGAGTCAGCAGCTGGGTTGGGGCCACTCTGAGGATCTCTGTCATGCAGGCCCCGGCCAAGAACCAGAGCGGTCCTTATGTATCTCAAGCAGATTAAAAAAAAAAAAAAAAACCCAGAAAAACTGCTCTGTTGGGGAGCAGAGACCTGGAGGTTCCTTTTCCTTGAATTATAGCTTCCTGCCTTCTCCTTTTCTTCTTCTTCTTTTTTTTTAAAAATATATTTTTATTGATTTCAGAGAGGAAGGGAGAGGGAGAGATAGAAACATCAATGATGAGAATCAGCAGTGGGCTGCCTCCTGCACGCCCCCTACTGGGGATCGAGCCCACAACCCCAGCCATGTGCCCTGACAGGGTATTGAACGGTGACCTCCTGGTTCATAGGTCGATGCTCAACCACTGAGCCACACTGGCTAGGGCCTGCCTTTCCCTTTTCTGACACCCAGGACCCCAAGCCACTGTCCCACACTCACCCAGCTCTGCCCTGTCCCTCCTTCCTGCAGGACAGCCTATCTCTGGGGCGCTCGGAGCAGCCGCACCCCATCTGCTCCTTCCAGGATGACTTCCAGGAGTTTGAGATGATCGATGACAATGAAGAGGAGGAGGAGGAGGAGGAGGAGGAAGAGGAGGAGGAAGAGGATGAGGAAGAAGAGGAGAAAGAAGGAGAGGACAAGGAGGGGGGAAGACCTGGCCCCGAAGCCGGTACTCTGGAGCTGCTGATCCCCTCCCCCTCCCTGGAAGAGCCCCACAAGCACAGGCCCACCACACTCCACCTGACTCCCCTGGGAGCCCAGGTGAGTGCCCAGGCCCACCATCCGGGACTCTGCTGCCCATGGCAGGCTGTGGCTCCTCCCCCCACCCTCACCTGCAGCTGGAGCCCCTCCTGAGACCTCTTCTGTCCCCCCTGCAGGACTCCCTGAACAACAATGGGGGCTTCGTCCCAGTGCCCCCAGCCTCCTGGCAGGAGACAGTGCTGTGCTCACCCCGCCAGGAGCCACTCCAAGGTGAGCAGGACTGTGGAGGCCCAGGAGGCAGGGAGGGAGGAGCGGAGGCCGGTGAGCCTGCTGACCGAGGCCCCTCCCGCCCCGCAGAGC